TACTCATATTTGTCAAAACAGTCCTTATCATCTATTTATTTTATTCACAATTATTTTATTTTAGCAAATCAAACCCAAACTCTAGTTTTTATTTAGTTGAACAACAATTCGAATGCCATATTTATACGCAGTCCTTGAGATCGAGATTCTGGGAACTTTTCTCATTATTACTGCAGAGGCAAAATAGTACACTTGCTATTTTTCTGATCAAATTTTTGGCGATGTTGTCGGGGACTGCCTAAATATAGAGTTCTAATTTTATTTCAATTGAAATTTTGTTGCTCGTCAATTAAAATTTTGTTTCAGTTTTATTTATTTATTTAAATTTTATTTTAGTATAAAAAAAACGAAAAAGGGGTCTGCTTATGTTTGCTTCATGAATTTTTCTATACTTTATTACTAATCAAGTGCTTGAGTGTTGTAGTCATGTATTATTTCGATACATTGCCACATGTATCTCTTGCATGTTGGTCGCCTGATTCTGGATTAACTTTGGAAGAGGCAACTGAAATTTTTAAAGCATATAGGAGAGAGGTAAGAATTTGGGGAAAGTTACAGGTAGAAGAAAAAGATATGAAACCAGAAGAAAAATGCATGACATCAAATGAAAGGGATGCAGTAAGAATAAAAGAATTTGAGTTAAAAAAGAAGGATGAGGAAGAAGAAATAAGGAAACTTGAAGAGTATCTAGTTTTGGATGAAACTACAAATTTCACAATTTATGAAGACGTGGACATCCAACCAGAAAATCTTCAAGAAAAGAGTCTCCCTAAAAATTATTTTCACAACAAGGCTGATGAAAGACAAGAAATTGACAAAGTATTGGATGCCATTTATGTCTTGTTCAATAAAATCAAGCTAAAAATGATTTGGAAGCAACGTCATCAGTACTTTAAGTTTATGGGGTTTCTACCAAACAAAAGAAAGGAAAAAGATGATGTTTCTTTGTGTCATATATGTCACCCTAACAAGGGGAACGAACCATCAAGCCATGCGATGTTAAACGAAGTGCTTCGTGGGAGGCAACCATCGTTTTTAATAACTTAGTTTTCCTTTTTGTTTTGTTTTCAAGTAATAAAAATGGATCTTACTGGTGAAAGCTAGGAAGTGGCAGTTTGTATTGCATCACCCTCTGTGAGTCACCCCTCTCGATCTTGTTCTAAAACATTAGGGCCAATGTTTAGTTCAAGTTTAGAGAGGAATTTACTGCTTTGTGTTGCAATTTATTTGTTTGTTTTATGTTATTTGCTTTGTAAAACCACACGTTAAAGCTCGTCCCAAATTTTGACTGAAAATGTTTGTTTTGTACAAGAGCTTGTAATTCAAACAAAATCAGGAAATTATATAGAGATAAAGGGATTATTGTTTGGAGGTAGGAAGTTCGGAATAATGTTACAGTGATACGAGTCTAACGTCTAGATTTGTACCATAATGTTTGAATCCTGAGAAGTACTCCTGAAGTACTTTATCTTTACAGTCTGGCAATATAGATTCACATGCATGTATGATTGGTAGAGAAATAATTAAATTTGGAACCAAATGATGAAAAGGCGGTAAAAGGAAATTGGCTCGCTAAGTTGGGTAGCCATCACCCGGTTATTTAGCCCAAAGGGATTTGATCCTCAAACATCGTCCAAAAGGATAATATATAACTACAAAGTTTGAAATTTTCATCGGTAATTAAAATTAGCTAATGCTACTTATTTGGTGCCTAAACAAAAAATTCTTGGTTATTCTTGTGCATGTGATGATCGTCATAATTCTCATTGCCTTAATTTGGTTGTCTGAATGAAAAAGGAGGGAAATCGTAAAGAGACTTAACTACAAAGCATAATTAGAGAGGTATCCGAAGAGGAAGCTCGAGATCAAAAGGTTCTTACATAAACTCCTCACGTCATGTGAACATCGAACGGACTACCTTAATGTGAACGGATATCTCACGTATGAGTACTGGTATGTTGTGAATTTCATGAGCTCTTGTAATTATTACTTGAGGTCAAGGAACGATTTAAGTTTTAGGGAGTTTAATTAGTGGTTTTTACACGGTTATTTACCATTAATTTCAGTTATATTTTCTTTTGATTGTCGAGTGTTTTATATTGTTTTACCATATTTTTTGCATTGGTTGTGAGTTTTGTTTTTAGGCTCACATGAATAAATCGAGACAAATTTGTTCGAAAATATGAAAAATTCAGAGGTTCGGAAAAGTTTCCAGCATGCTCCATGAGATGCAACACCCGTGTCAGGTAACATTGCCCGTGTCAGCTAATGCGCTGATTGATCTGTTTTCACTAAAAAATTCATAACCTAAGCTATGGGAATCAGATCGGCACGTTCTAATATTTGCTGAAAATCTCAGAAAAAGCTACAACTTTCATGTTGAAGTCAGAAGTTGATTCGGACTGTAGAAGCCTCGAAAAATTCATTAAAGTGAAGACTTTAGAAAATTAGTTGTTTCGGGTCGTTTTACGGGCCTGGTTTATGTTTCCGACCCAGTTTGAATTTGTAGTGAAAACTCTTATTTGGTTTATAAGACTTTTTGGAGAAAAAGAAGAAAGGGGGGAATTACACGAGAGAAGATTAGAGAAGACAAGGATTTCGGTGGAAGGAGATTTTCATGAACGGATAGGATTGAAGACCAGATTCCTCCCCAATACTTGTAATGTTTACAATTTATCTTTTGTTTTCTTTAAATAGTATGAGTAGCTAAAACCTCAATGCTAGGGGGTGTCTTTGTTTTGCATTTGTAATGATTTTGAATTCCTAATTTGATAATACAATAGTTTTTTCTTTCAATTTAATCGTTCAATATTTTTAAGGCTTTCTTTGTCGAACAAACAAGATTGATTTACGGTTAACAATCAGCTGGACCGCGGTTGTTAAGATTTTTGTACGATTAGACTATAGTAGATATCATCTAAGACTAGGGATATCCTATAGTTACCGATTAACTCTTGTTAAAAAAAAGGCTTGACTCCATCAGAAATCTCTAAGGATTTAGGATGAATGGTCAAAGGTTTTCCCACTAAGGACTTAGGGGAAGATAAACTAAATAGTTGGTAATTGAATGTTAGATCAGGATTCAAGCTTATTACAGGACAAATCATACACTTTACCCTAGCATGTTACTCATATTTGTCAAAACAGTCCTTAGCATCTATTTATTTTATTCGCAATTATTTTATTTTAGCAAATCAAACTCAAACTCTAGTATTTGTTTAATTGAACAATAATTCGAACTTCATATTTATACGCAGTCCTTGAGATCGATATTTGGGAAACTTTCATCATTATTACTGTAGAGGTAAAATAGTACACTTGCTATTTTTTCGATCAGGAAGGTGTGGCGCAAGATATATAAATTAAAATCTGTTTAGAGATGTATCTCTTCACTCACTTTTAAAATCAGAATTATTATGAAAGTACACTTACGGAGTCACTCTAATATTGATACATAAATACATATTTTGAAAGAATTAGAGTGACTCAGTTAAAAAGTGTTGAGATATTTTTGGGATGTGTCCAAAATTGCATATTCAAATTCGAGAAACATTTATGTATTTCACTAGGATGCGAAACACTCATGAGGTGTAGAAAATAACCCCAAACATGATTAACAACATACTTCACGTGATAGAACAATGTTCGCAAAAACATGCAATCTAAAATAAAAAGAAAGAGGAGTACTAACAACACTCTCTTTTCAACACTTTATTAAACATTTACTTTTTTATTAGTTGAAACATGTGTGTCTCTCACTTTAAAAATATATAAAATGTTAGGACTCACACATGTTTTAACAAAAAAAATATATATATATTTGATAAAATGTTGAAAAGTGATCGTTATTAACATTTTTCTGTTTTTTTCTTGTTATATTGAACCGTGAAATTTCAAAAAAATTCTTATAAAATGAAAAGTTGATTTTGTTTTCTTAAGAGGAACCCACTAGACAGGCAGGTGAAACATTCAGCAACCATGTTTGAAAACACATGGCAGCAAGCAAGTTCATGTCTTTCGTAACATTATTTTCAACAATGTTTAACAAAAGAAGCTCTATCAAATGATATTTTTTAAGGGAAGACAAGCTCTAACCAATAACAAACGCCTATTACGAAGGCATTTTGTATTTATATTGTTTTTACATAACAAAAATTGTTTATTATTTTAGTTTTAACAAGTCAATTATTTTTAAAATTATGAATAATTAATTTTTAAAAAATTAGATAATTTATGCCGAATTTAAAATAATAAAAAAATCTAGAAACCTTCAAATTTGAACTGCATGTTGACAATGGATATAAGTCTCATAGAAATATATAGTATTCTTCAAAACATAAACATATTGTCAAACACAGGTAACTTCTAGGATAAATAATTAGAATTGGTTCATCATATTCTAAATGAATTGAAAGCTAGGAAAGAAGTTTCTAATATCATCAATTCTAATCCTGTTCAAATTCTATTGCAGCCATCATTCATAAGATGCACGTGTATCTATTATCTTCATCAGGAAGTATCATGGTACAAATTCTAAAACACCATCCTTGACTATAGAACTTTCTCGTTTCTATCTGTAGCCTTGTCCCCTTTAAAATTTGAACACCATAATAATAACACTATACTTATAGAACAAAGAAGCATTTCTAGACAATATAATACATTGTATCACTTAATAGATGCTTGTTGGAAGAAGGCCCAAGGATGAAAAAAAATACAAAAAAACAAAAGTATCTATGCTAAAAGATATAACACCTAGAATCGTGAAGATGATAGTGGAAGCTAAAGCAATTACAAGAAACATTGAAGAAAAACATGTATTTCCTTATGTGCACTTTCTAGGTACCTGAAGAAACAACTCTGAACCTTAAATAAATATAGAATCAGTGTACTTAAATCACAACTAGTGAGTACTTCTTCTAGACAATTTTCCAAACCTGATTTTCAGCATCTTCATCCTTAAATAAATAAATAATGTGAATACATTGAACCTCTTTTAACTACCTGACAACGCCACTGCAGCCAGGCTCTCTCTCCATTGTCTCACTCTGCATGATACTTCTTACTACTGATACATCCTCCCACCTGCCCGCGTTTGCATATATGTTCGATAGGAGAATTTTTCCTCCGCCATGAGATGGTGCCAACCTTGCCAAATTCTCTGCAGCCCTCTCTCCTATGTTGACATTTCCATGAGTTCTACATGCCGCTAATAAAGTTCCCCAAATCACAATGTCAGCCTCCATTGGCATGTTCCTTATCATTTCCTCGGCATCTTCTAATAGCCCTGCTCTACCCAAAAGATCAATCATACAACCATAATGTTTGATATCTGGTTCAACATTATATGCACTCTTCATGGTTTTGAATATTCTCCGTCCAGGATCCACCAAACCGGCATGACAACAAGCACTTAGTACACCGATAAATGTAATTGGATTCGGTTTAATATGACACCTCTGCATATCAGAAAAAACCTCTAGGCACATACTTGCATGTCCATGTGAGGCTAACCCACATATAATTGCATTCCACGGTGACACAGTAAAGACTTCATCTCGAATCTGATTAAAAAATTGAAGAGCAGTGTTGATGCTCCCACATTTTGCATACATATCTATCATAGCAGCACGTAAGTTGTCATTGAAAGGAACGGATTCGTTGCGCAAGTATTCATGGGTCAATCTTCCTTCTTGCAATGTACCTAATGTGGCAATTGCAGAGAATACACTCACCATGGTAACTTCGTTTGGTTTGATCCCACTAGCTACCATTTTATGGAAGAGTTCAATAGCCATTTTGGGCTGCTCGGTTTGTGCATAGCCCGAAATCATGGTACTCCATGAAAAAACATCTCTTGCAGGCATTTCATCAAACATGTTCCTAGCTTCGTCAATCATTCCTTTCTTTACGAATCCAGCAATGAGAGCATTCCATGATTCTAAATGATCCTTTACACCAACCTCAAATTGCAAACATGCAAGGTCCATCATCCCACAGGCTGCATAAAAATGAATGATTGTAGTCTGTATAAAATTGTAACAATCAAAACCTCTCTTAACAACTGTTCCATGCAACTGCCAACCAACAACAATCCCAATCCTACGACCACACGCTGAAACCAAATTCACAAGCATGACATCGTTAGGTCCATGTCCAATTCGCAACATTGCACGATAAACCTCCAAAGCTTCAAACAAACAACCCTTTTGGATATATCCATCAATCATCGTTCCCCATGAAATCACATCTTTATCACAAATCCCCTCAAACAACTCCCTAGCCTCGTCAACAAAACCTGTCTTTGCATACCCATTCAACATCACATTCCACGTAACCAAATTCCTCTCGGGCATTTCATCAAACAACCTTCTCGCTTCTGTTACACCCAAACAAAGACAATACGCGTGAACCAAATTCGTAGAAACAATAACCAACCCCTCAACAAACAATTTAACAACCAAACCATGAATCATCTGACACTTCAAAATATCACCTAAGTGCGAGCAAGCAGATATGACTTTAACCAAAGTCAAATCATTCGGGACAACGCCATGAGCCCTCATATCCTTAAAAACCTCAAGAGCTTCACTAAAAAATCCATTTTGAACAAAACCCATTATCATAGTAGTATAAGAAACACAACCTTTATCAGGCATTACATCAAACAGTTTCCGGGCATTCTCCAATTGACGAGCTCTAACATACCCAGAAACCATAATATTACAAGAAACAGAATCCAGCATATGAAAACCATCAAACAGAATTTGAGCATCCCTCATGGAACCGCATTTTGTATACATGTTGATCAAGCTGTTGTGAATGAAGGTATTGGAGTGGAGTCCGAGTTTGAAGGCGAGGGAATGGATTTGGCGGCCTTGGGAGGGGAGGGAGAGGGAGGAACATGATTTGAGAGCGGAAACCAGTGCGAGTTCGCAGTTGGCGGGGTTTTGGTGTTGTCTGGCATTGGAGAAAATGAGAATGAAGTGTTGTGGAGGGGTTGGTTTGGTGGGAGTGGAAGATGAGAGGTGTCTTAGAGGGGAGGGGAGAGAGGGTGGTGGGAATTTGAGTCTGAGACTCAACGGAATGGACATGAAGATGGATGTTAAGCGAGATCATCAGATTTGAACGGCGGTGTGTCTATCTCCGTCGTGTATTGGGGTGACGAGCGTCGTGTTAGGGGGTGATAAATGGTAAATCTGCTCTAACCTATCTAACGTGGGTCGGGTTGAAATATGATACCATTTTTAAACATGAACATGTACGGTTGCGGCCAATGTAGCCTCTAACCCGGTTGATGCCTTGATACAATAGTGATTAAATATTGATAATATGATTCACATATCATTATCGTTTTGAAATTTCATATTGATTAACTGAATACGTCTATCATTTTCGACTAATGAATAAAGATACTCAACATTGACAATCTTTTTTATATTGCGGTAATTGAGACGATAATTTATTTGGTCTAGTTGATTTTTCAGATAATACAATATAACATTAGCATTAATTCTAAACAAAATAGGAAGAGTCCATTTATTATAGTAAGTGTTCTGGACTGGGTCCAGGTTGGTCCAAGAGCAGGAATGAAGGTCTAATCCAGACAGTTTTACAAGGAGCGCATCGACCAGAAGATACAGCCGTGTCCGCCGCTGCCCGCGAACACGACCTCCTCGACCACATACAATTCAGCTCGAGTCTAGCTCGAGCACCCTCCTCGTAGGGCAGACTATGATCGTTACTCCATCACCTGAACTCCGGAATGACCGCGTCCTCGTCCGTCCGGACTTCTCGCTGAGCATCACCAGGGAGGGGACCACGTGCGGGTCCCCACTACACACGTAAAACCTGACAGTTCCTTTATTGGGCCAGTCCTGGTCGGCCCAATAAAGGGACCTTGGCCCCGCGCTGGGGGCTATAAATACTCTCTATTCCTAGAGGGTCAGGTATTCATTCTCTTACCCATATACACACTTTTTGCCTGCTCGTACTACCACTCACTTTAGCATCGGAGTGCCTTGCAGGTACCCCCCCCCATCTCGTTCAACTTCAGCTCGGAGCCAGTCGTGACGGTCCAAGTCTGATCCGGTAAGATCAGTGGCGCCGTCTGTGGGAAACTAGCTTCCCCGTCTTGCAAAAACTCGAAGACCAAAGCTCAACTCAACTATCACTGTCATGGCTGACCAAGTTCTTGATGAACAAAACATTCGCGTCGTCGACACCAACAACGGCCTCGCGGACAATAATGGACACCCCGATAACGCCGGTAACCCCGGTCATAACACCCTTCCTGTGGGAACTGCCCCCGGGCCCTCATTCCACCGCGACGGAGTTACTGCATCATCCTCTTCAGTCCCTCCGCCGCTCGAAGAAGACAATGTAGCTCCCACGAGCCATCGGGCTGCCCAATTTCAGGAAGTCCATGTCCCTACCGGGGCAGATGCCACAACCCGCGCGCTATTCACGGCGATTAACCAGACGAATTACCTCATCTTCGCCCAGGGGGAAAGATTGAGGGCACTAGAAGACGATCGAAGGCCCGCGAGGAGACACAGGAGGCCCCAGACTCCACCTCCCCAGGTGACAAAGGTACATCTCCCGTCTCCCCTGCGGAGACACTACAGAGACACCTCTCGGAGCCCGTCACCCTGACCCTCGGGGAGACGACCCCCTTTGGAGAGGCAACCCGTCGTTGAAGTTGGGGGACGCGGCCACGCCCCCACACGATAAGAAAGAAGACACTCCGAAGACGGGCATGGAAGAATCAGCCAACGAGCACCACGCTCGAGAGATGCCCAGCACGACCAGGACCGTCGGGCTCGACAGTATTACAGGTCCCCATCCCTGTCCCCGGAGCAAAGTGACGACGACGACCCTCGCGGTCCCCTATCACAGGCCATCATGGAGGCGCTCATTCCCCCGGGCATGGAGAAGCCCCCACATCTGAAGGAATATGACGGAGTCGCGGACCCGGTCGACCACATAGATGGGTTCGAGGCTATGCTGCACTACCACAACGTCGAGGGACCCATCAAATGTCGGTTGTTCCCCACGACCCTCAGAAAGGCAGCAATGGACCGGTACAAAGGCCTCGCTCCGGGATCAATCACCTCATGGCGAAACCTGAAGAACCAATTCATCAGTTCGTTCACAGCGTCTCGGCGACACTCAAAGACCGAGGCGGCTCTCGAGGCCATCATCCAGAGACAGGATGAAACCTTGAGAGAGTTCATCAATCGCTTCAACCGCGAAACCATACAGGTCCCATGTGCGGACCACATGAAAAGATATTTGTTGGAGAGGGGGCTCCTCCCCGGCACAGAATTCAGAAAGGTCATGGGCATCGAGCCACCTAGAACATTCGATGCCCTCCTCGAGAAGGCCCGGGCGTACATGGATTACGAAGAGAGGGAGACGGCCAACAGAGCCCGAGACCCCAGGACTCGCGGGTCCAGCAGCAACCCGCGCCAGGAAGCTGATCCTCCTCGACGAACCGGGGAGAAAAGAAAAGAAGACAGACCCCGAGAAGTCCGAGAGCAAAGAGGACCCTCAGGGCGTTTCACCGAGTACATTCCGCTCACGGCTTCCCGCGAGTGCATTTTGGCAGAGTGTGCCAGCATGGACTTTAAAGACGGCAGCGTCAAATGCCCCCGACCTGCTCCCGCCAAGCCCGGAGCAGACAATAACAAGTATTGTCAGTACCATAGGAGCCATGGTCATCTGACTGAAGATTGCGTCCACCTCAAGGACGCCATCGAAACCCTCATCAAGGGAGGAAGGCTCGCACAATACCGGCGAAACGATGCTCCTCGTTGCGACGCCCGAGAAACAAGAGAACCGGAGGAAGACGCTCGACCATCTAACGAGTCGGTCCCCGTCCAGACCGCCTTCTCCGTCACCAGACCCGAGGACTTCAATGTCCCCGAACACCTGTAGGAGCCGCTCACAACACACATCAGGTGGGAATATTTCCCCTCCGCCATGGTCATCAATGGCGGAGGATTCAACGACCTGACTATCAATTCGACTAAAAGGAAGCTGGATGAACTGGTCGACACGGCACCTCCGCAAACAGTGACATTTGAGAGGGTAAAAGGTAGGTCGGAGCCCATCACCTTCTACCTGGAAGAGCTCCCCGGGGGAGCCCCCAACGCAGTCATCCCCTTGCTGATAAGGGCAAGAATGGCCAACTTCGATGTGCATCGCATCCTCGTCGATGAAGGAAGTTCCATCGACGTAATGTACAGCCAATTGTTCCGAACTCTGCAGCTGGACGACTCACATCTCTCGCCATATGTAGGGTCAGACTTACAAGGGTTCAATGGCTCGACCTCCAAGCCTTGGGGATACGTCGAGCTTATGGTTACCTTCGGCGAAGGTACAGCGACAAGGCAAGTTAAAGTACGCTTCCTCGTCATCGACTGCCCGTCCCTCTATAACTGCATCCTGGGGAGACCGACACTGGCAGAACTGACAGCGGTGCCCTCCACCGTCCACCTGAAGCTGAAGTTCTACACCAAAAGGGCACGGGTAGCTACCATCCAGGGCGACCTAGCCGCTGCTCGGAGGTGTTTCAACTCCGCGTCTAAGGGGCGCGACACCGTGGACGTCGAGACAAGACCCGCCAAAAGACCGGCAATAACACGACAGGAGCCCGACAAGCCAGAGCCCGCCAAGGAGGAAGCCCAGAAAGCTCCACCAAAGGTCGAATTTATAACTCTGGATGCTCGTTTCGATCAGGATGAACTTCCCAACGGCGAGCAAATTCCCCTCCGACCAATACCGGACGGGGACTTTGAGCTTGTCCCCCTCAGTGCAGACCCGAGCAAAGGAGTAAAGATTGGCATCGACCTCCCCGACCTGGCAAGGAAGCAGATCAAAGCCTGCTTGCGCGAGAATGCTGACCTGTTCGCCTGGAGCTCCGCGGAGATTCCCGGACTCAACCCTGAGGTCGCCTGTCACCATCTCGCCATAGATCCTTCCGCTAAGGCCGTAGTACAATGTAGGCGTAGGCAGTCTCTGGAGAAAACGGAGGCTGCTGAAAAAGCTGTAAAAGACCTCCTAGAGGCAAATTTTATTTTTGAAGCCCGGTATTCAACCTGGATGTCGAACTTTGTACTTGTTAAAAAGAATAATGGAAAATGGAGGATGTGTGTTGACTATACTGATCTCAACCGGGCTTGCCCGAAAGATGCTTTCCCTTTACCGAACATAGACATGCTGGTCGACAACTCGGTCGGCTACAAAACATTGTCGTTCATGGATGCCTACTCGGGCTATAACCAAAGCCCGATGGCCATGGGCGATAAACATTGCACGGCTTTCATGACCAGCTCGGGCAATTATTACTACAACGTAATGCCCTTTGGACTAAAAAACACCGGGGCAACTTACCAACGTATGATGAACAGGGTTTTCCATAAGCAGATTGGAGACATGCTCGAGGTCTACATGGACGACATGATCGTCAAATCTCGAGCAGACACCGATCATGCAGCACACCTCAAGGCAGTCTTCGCCCAAGCAAGACAATGTAAGATGAGATTCAACCCCGAAAAATGCACGTTCGGAGTCAAGGCGGGGAAATTCCTCGGATTCTACCTAACAGAACGAGGAATTGAAGCCAACCCCGACAAATGTCGAGCGTTCTCCGACCTCCCGACCCTGACATCGAAGAAATCAATACAAGTCATGAACGGCATGCTCACGTCATTGTCCCGCTTCGTCGCAAGGTCCGCTCAGCACGCCCTCCCCTTCTTCAGGCTCCTTCGCAAAGAAGCAGCCTTCGAATGGACCGAGGAGTGTGAACGGGCACTACGCCACCTAAAGCAAAGTCTATCTAAACCACCCGTGCTATCTCGACCAGCCGATGGGGAGCCATTATTCCTATACTTGGCCGTCTCAAACAAAGCCGTCAGCGCGGCTCTCATCCGCGAAACCACCGACGGGCAGAAACCCATTTATTTCATGAGCAAAGCCCTACAAGGACCCGAAAGCAGGTACCAACAGATAGAAAAAGTAGCTCTAGCCCTTGTCAACGCAGCGAGGAGACTCAGACACTATTTTCTGGCCCACACGGTCATCGTGCGAA